TTGGCATGCTTTGAGCGTATTGCATGACCATACTGTAATATGTGATTGATTGGCATGCTTTGAGCTTATTACATGGCCATATTGTGATATGTGATTGATTGGCTTGCTTTGAACATATTGCATGGCCATACTGTGATATGTGATTGATTGGTATGCTTTAAGCATATTGTATGACCATACTGTGATATGTGATTGATTGGCATGCTTTGAACGTATTGCATAACCATACTGTGATATGTGATTGATTGGCATGCTTCGAACATATTGCAGGACCAGATATTGTTATTATACTGAGGAGCCTACTTTGAGCATACTGTAGAGCCTGACTTTGTGACTGATACAAACAGAAAGCCTGCTCCGAGCTTATAGCAGGGCCTGACCTTATGATTGATAGTAGTGAGGTGCCTACTTTAAGCGTATTGCAGGGCCCAATTTTGTGATTGTGATTCTCTGATGTGTGTTTTGAGTGTATTGTATGATTGATACTTGTAAGGTACCGCTTTGTGAGTATTGTCGAACCTTATTTAGAGACTGATACCAATAGCCACCTGCTAGTGGCTGAACTAGTTGAAATTGATTAGAGTTGAATAGCTTGGTTTGAATTGTGTATGTCAACCTGTTATTGTTGGCTGGTTGGGTTAATAGGGTGTCTGTATTTCTAAGGTATCTAGATGGTTAGTGCATGACATTGTGTGTGAAATGTGAAGCATAGACTATGAAATATTGAAGATAAGACTATAGACAGTTGGATGACACATGAGTGGATGTGTGGGTACCCTCCGCCAATTGTTGGGGATTCATATGTACGATTTTGGGGATTTTTAAGGGGAGGGGGGGGGGGTGATGTAAGGACCACAACTTTTATGGACTTAAGACGCTCACGGCAAAAGAGATAAGAGAAGGAAAACACGTCTGACACAAAGGAAGGAGGTGCACTGCCGTGCATGTATAAGCTATCGCCGAGCATGAAAGTAAAGGAGGCATAGTCGTGAGTGTAAGGATGCATCGCCGTATGTGCAAAAGGATGCATCACCGTATGTGCAAGAGGCAACGCCGCGTGCGAACTGGACTAATGTCGTGCATGTAAGCATAACACCGGTTGTGTAAGAAGGCGTATCGCCGGCTGTGTAAGAAGGCATAGCACCGACTGTGTAAGAATGCATAGCGCTGGTTGTGGAAGAGAGAAGGAAGCCTAGTGTCGATTGGAGCATCGCCGTGCGTGTATAAGGACCCATCACCGGCTGTGATCCAACGTCGTCTATGAGATGGGAGAGCATCGCCGCGAGTGTTACTGCCTCGAGTAAGCAGTGCCATTCATGGAAAGAGCATAACGCCATGTGTGTTTGATCAACTTGTACAACTGTCAGCGTTGCTCTTGTCAGAGCCGTGCATGCCAGCAACGTGGACCCTCACTTACCCTATTAGCAATAGTGAACCCCACCTACCCACGGGTACTTGAACCTCACTCTTCTTCACCTCTCCGCCAGTTTTGCTCATCTCCCTCCTTCTTCTCCCAACTTTCTCTCTCTAGAGCCCAAGGGAGAACCCTTTTGCTGCTACTGCCGTTGGGGAACCTTGCCAAGATGGTTGAAGTGGTTAGTGTGTGGAGTTTAGGAGCGCCATGGACATCAAGTAAGTGAGCCTAGCTATTATGCATCAACAAATTTTAGGTATTTATCCTAAGTGTTCAAAATGCGGAAAAATGATATGATGAAATGTATGAGCATGGATGCACTGAGATGAGATGCCATGATCGATTGAGCCCTGTATATTATTCTATTTGTTGTGGAAATGTGTGAAGTAGTTCACTTGTGGGAATAGTTTAATATGAATTTGGTTTTGCATCAAGATTTGCTTTGTTTTATATTGTGTTGAATGTTCTCGAATGTATGTTAAACTTGAGAAGACAAATTTCCATAACTGTAATGGTTCAGTGGCCAAACAGTGTCCAAATGGACCCAAACCAGTTTTTGATTGAATGATATGATTATCTATTTCAATTTTTCTTTTTACATAATCTTGAAATTCCCTATGTCTTTGAAATTATGCTTCAAAATGTGTGGATATGTCACTGTTAAGAGATTGAAGAACATTCCTGAACGGTTACTCTTTTCATACCAAACGTTTTACCTATCAAATGATATCCAAATG